CTGAAAATTTCAGCCTCCCAGCTTCCCTGGTTCTGGGGTTATTCATTTTCCCGCCAAAAATTTTCACGGGGCCGTACGCGGCAACCACGCATGGCGGGGTGCTGAATTTGATAAACTAAAGTTGTAGATGAGTTGAGAACATTTTCTGAAACTTTCAGCCTTCCAGCTTTCTTGGTTCCCGAGCTAGCGATTTTCGCGCCAGGAACCCTCAGGGGGCCGCACGCGGGAACCACGAATCCCTGGGGGCTGAATTTGAAATCTTTAAGTTCTATAGGGGTGGGGAACGTAACCTCAAAATTTCAGCTTTCTAGCTTTTCTGGTTCCCGAGTTAGCGGTTTTCCCACCAAAACTTTAACCCCCTCGTACGCGGGGCCTAGGTGTGCTTGAGGGTTGGTACCGCTATCCTGGGGTGGCACTTGGGTGGGGAATGCACTGGCAAAATTTCCCGGAGCTATCTTGCTTGGGTGCCGAGTTGAAATATCCGGACAGACGCACACACACACCACACACACACACACCGGGGTCGTCACAATATGCGTTTTTGCATTTGCATATTATGCAAAAACGCACAAAAAGTGCGCTTTATTTGGAAATTCAAAAGAACAAGAAATTTGAAGATGCAGGACCAACAAGTGACCACCGCGCGGTGAAAGCATTAGTCAAAGCAACTAGAAAAGCTAATAGCACCTAGCTAGAGAATCAGGTTACGCACTGGCAGCTAATCCAAATACCCAAAATAAAGCTCCCACGCACGCTTGGTTCTCATGCACGGGTGCAAATCTTTAATGCGAATGGCAGTGCGCTAGGAAATAGAAAAATTGGTCATCTGAAGTTTAAAGTTCAAGTGAAATTTGTGAATGTAGGCTTAGCTAAAAAACATGGCAGATTCAGCAGTACAACCCGCAGAACATATGCGGGAAAATTTGATCAACCAGTAGACAGAAAAGCTGAAGTTTTGCGGAGATGTTCCCTGTTTACGAGGAACACAAATCCTGCAGATGCAGCCCCCATGCACGTTCGGTTCTCACACACGGGTACAAATCTTTGACACAGACTGCACTGCTTTTGAGAAGTAGAAAAACCGGTAATTTGAAGTTTCCTTGGGATAATCCATGTTTAAATGGAATCTGGAAATGAAAGTTTAGCTAAAAATTGTGGCGGGTTCAACAGTACGACCAGCACAATATTTGAGGGGAAATCGCATTTTGGACTAAGAAGGCACTGTCAATTCGAAGAGGCGGGAACCATCGGCAATGAGGAAAGGGGACAAGAACGAGGAGGGGGAAGAAGGAGAGATAAGATGGAGATCAGGCCACAAAGTACGTGAAAAAAAAAAAACTACCTTACAGGATCAAAGGGCTTGAATAGTCGCACCCCGTGTGTGAGAGCATTCTAGTAACATTAGATACACAAATCGATTGTCCGGACAGTATTGGTACTCACGGCATATTTTGGTTCTTACGGAGTGCGTCCTAGGATTCCCATGCTCCTTTATCCTCCCTATCTCCCGCCTTCCCATCTCCTGCCCTTCCCTCCTCTAATAAGTTTTCCATGAAAGGGAAAAAATTTTCATTTTGGAAGAACGAGTCCGGCAGAACCTTTCTTCATAGCTGAAACAGCTTCTGGACAACAGAACAGCGACAGTTCCAGGCGTGAAATCCAATGCTTTACTTAATTTCGAAGTTGCAGTGTTGCTTACCACTATTTTCTTATGAAGCTGAAAGATTTTCCAAATCATTGTCGCTTCAGAATCGTTTCTTCTAAGTCAGGCAGAAGCATTTTCACCTCACAGGCGCTTCTACATTCCTGGATCTGGTAACGGCATTCCATACAGGTGAGAAGAAGGTGAACTGTAAAATCGTTCACGTGGTATGAAAAAATATAAGAAGCAGAGCGGAGGGTCGGACACCACATAGGCTTAAAATGCTTTCGAAAAAAAGGCTTAAAAACACAAAAGCCCAGTTGCTGGAGGGCGCTGTGACGAACTGTACCCGAAAATTGGTCAAGTGGTTAAGCTAATTTACGTGAGAATTGCTACTGCGAGGCGTATTACGTGTTTCTGGACGCTTGTGTTTATAAATCTCTTTATGTACGTTTACGATGTGAAAGCACTTTTTATGCGTTTTTGCTGTGCAGCGCTATAGCGCTGCTACAGCCAGCAAAAACGCATGTTGTCG